CGGATTATGCTTTGCAAAAAACATCTTTGCATGATTTGCAAGATTTGAAATCAAATTTGGAGTCAAATTTCGTACTCAATTTAGAACCAACTGCAGTGGAATTCAACTGAAAAAAGAGGTTAAAGTACAGAGGACAATTTCTCGAAGAGAAAAAAAATTGACGCCACTGAGTACGCCCACAAGAACGCACTTCCATAACAATCATCGTACAATTGCAGTAGGTAAGTAGTGGAGTAGTGGTGACAGGTACAGTCTTCTATGAAAAGCAAGTTCCGCCATAAAAAAAAATTCATGATCAGCATTCGTAAGAAAATTACACACTGCACTCACTACAAGTACATGCCAATGGAAAGCTTAGACATACCAGCTGTATTATTTTCGACACACTCGAAAACAAGTCTAATTATCTCCGATGCACTAAGATTGCAAGAATATCGACTATTTCCTATGAGATATCTGCTTTTGAAGAAGGGAATAGCAAATGAGTAGTTATTTAAGCCACGGTGATGAGAAAAATCTCAAAAAAAAATGATGAGAATAGAATTAGCAGCAAGAAATCTTGAAAAACCCTCTGAATGCACAGAATATCAAGGGAAGCAAAACTATAGTTTTGCAGCAAATTTGGTCAAAGCGAGGTAACAAGGACAACCATTGGAGACAACAGCGTTAGAAAGGAACCACTTAAACGCTTTTGCACAAGCACTTGCGCGAATGAAGAACACAGAACAGATGTTCATTATTTTCAATGAGTTGCTGACGGACGATTTCGCACTCACTAATGGCCCATATGGTGAAATTGCAATATTGAACGAATGCTTGACAAAAATTTAAAATTGAAAAACTTTTGACGATAGGATGAAAAGACATTAGAATCATACACAGATTCATCATGCAAATAGCAAGCATGGAGTTTTGACCCTCCGTTTCCAAAATGTAAGCAACATCGTAGCCATTACTGCCACAAAACCTATAGTATTGTATATTTCTCGATTTCATTCGCCTTTGACTTGCCAATTAATTGAACAAAAAGAGAAGAAGGATGTGCACTCAGAATTTCAGTAGAACAATGTGGCGACAATACTACTAGAGAATCAAGTCTTGGTTTTTGACAGAGGATAAGAAGAGGCTGAAGTCTAAAGTCTACGATTCTCCCTAATGCCCTTGATGTTTTTGATGTAAAGAAAACTAAGATAAGACGGAAGTTCAACAGTCAAGAATAGGCCAAGCGGAATCATGATTGCCAGGACAAAAGATTTGATTTGCGATATTTTTCATAGTAAAAGCTTAGCCAGCTTAAAGATTGTAGGGCATTCTACATCTTAGTGAATCGGAACAGGTCACTGTACATTATTGTTAGTATAAGCCGGATACTTTGATTCAACAGTAGCCAAAGCTCGGAGCTCAGAGCCTTGACTGCTGTAATTTGATTGCAATTTCGTATGGAATTTCGCGAAATGAGACAGGTACTAATCGCAATTCCGCATATTTCTAGAGAGTTCGTCAAACAATCTTGTCGTTATGATAGATTTTTAGATCTATTACTTGAAAGATGATGATCATGAAGTGCCGCAGTAAATTATCAACATGGAAGGGTCTATTCAGGACATTTGAGGATTTTTATGCAAAAAGTGATGAAAAGTTGAGGATTTTTATGCAAAAAGTGATGAAAAGCTCTTTGGATTGATCCTGAACGGGCTGGCATTTTCTATCTTCTACCTATCGTGACGGCAACAATCTCTCACCTTGAAGGTGGTGCCTAGGCAAATTTAGTAACTAGAAAATTTGCATTGGTACTAATTGGGAGACTTTACCTAGTAGACCACTGCCTAAGTGACAATTCGAATGATTTATTCATTAGCCGTAAAACAGATTTCCAAACTTCCGCCCTAACAGCAATTTTACCGAGCAGAATAAACGGCGGTACACGATACGGTAGAAGATACGGTGTGGTCTAGGGTCAGTCTCGACCCTCAATGAATCACATAAGCTACCGCTTGAGCAATGGCTTAGCTGAAGTTCCCAGTCAGTTTCCGCAAAAGAAAACAGATACTTAGCCTGGTTATAACTAATCCAAATCTTTGCAGGCTGCTTAAGCATACACAAAATCTGAGACTAGGCTTGTGTCAAAAACAACAAAAATGAAGAGAGAATCATTTCCACCCTTGCTTTGAGCTTGTATCGAGTAGGAATCAAAGGAAAATCCCAGAGATGATGAAAGATAGCTCAACCAACTCAACAATGGAAAGATAGCTAGCTTAGATTACTCCAATGGAACAACAAGTATTCATCCATCAGAGAAAATCAATGTGACACGTCAAGATTCTCGAGACTTATGTGGTCAGAAGCAGCTCGAAAGCAGGTTTGTCATAGAATTAGCAGATGGTATATTAAGCCTAGCACAGGACTTGATCCTTTCTTCTGGTTTCGGTCCACCTTACATGCATCACAAACCGTAGTTTTTGTAGAAGAACATCCATTAGAGGTCTCACTTATGCGACTTTCCAAACTTTCTCTCAAACTTGCATAAGAAGTTAAAACATTAGCTAGATGTAGAAGCTCGTAAACATAGACGCGGAGCTCATGAAGCGAAACTTGTTCTATAAAGTTATCAGAAAGGAGCTGCGTGAAAAACAAAACATTAATCGACCGGAATTAGTGGTGGGGAATCGAGGTGAGTCACGCCAGCGAGTCACCACTGTTTAGAAAAACAGCCCACATCGCCTCCAGCCAATGTGTCTTCCACGATTACTGACCGGCCGTCTCATAAAACTTTCTCGTCGTGAGATAGGGAAAAGGTCGCAGGCAAAAAGAGGCTTGGCAGAGGGTGGAGCCAGAAAGTATTGGTTGGTTCATAAGCCTGACCAAGAACTGTAGGAAATTTCGAAAAATGCTTATAAAATGCCTCATGTTATATTTTTTCTAAGAGACAGCAGATAGTTTATTTAGCTAAGCATGGTCGACTATAAACTCGAAAAATAATTATCCGTGAGTGCGAACAGCACGAATTCTTGAAACCACGATTGAAAGTAATTAGATTTTATTAGGCTTTAGAGTTTTGATCGAACAAGATTTTGAAATACGATTTCACTGTTTTTATCCATCGCCCTGCATTATATTTCCGTAGCTAATGGATTCATGCTTGAAAAAAATTGCCGTTCCATCGTCGCCCAGCGCCGTGCCAAAACGCTCAACCTATACGCGGTGCATGCATATGAATTCCGGCACGGCGCTGGCACTGCTCAGTCACACGGACAACTCTTGAATCACGCAAAAATAATGAAGTCTAAACTCGAGGTCTTCATTTATATTTTTGACTGAAAAAAATTACCTTATATTCTACGCTCTTCTCTGCAAACGAATCCGACGTTATGTGCACTTCAGCGTTTAGATATACAAAGTGATAGGATAAAAATGATGCAAACGCATTCCTTCAACATACGTAAAGCAGCAATCCAGTCAGCTCCAGTAAGTCTTCTATACTACGTGGCAAAAAAAAAGCCATCAGTCACAACAATCTAGGGCTTCCATGGCAGGGCTTCCCATACAGCAAGTAAAAATATTTCTACTTATTTTGCTGACTACTACTATGAAGCTAAGAAAAAGAGTACTGAGCTAAATATGAAGGGAAATCTCGCTCAAGAAATGCTCTCAACATCCTGAGAATTTCGGAAAGAACATAGCAAATATGGTACGAATAGACAAACATACGAAGGTGTCGATTTCTGTTTTTTTTTGGCGACACTTGTCGAACAGAAGAAAAGCGAAGTGTGACAATGTAATACTTTGTTTTTCCCTCCCTGCAAAGGCATTTACACGAAGAAGAACAGGTTTGAAAGCAAGGAACGGATGCAAAAAAAATTCTGCGTGAATCGAAAGGTATGGAAGAATATGTGTTTACAAGGGAAAGTCGCCATATTGCTTCAACTAGATAGTAACATCGGGAAAAGCTATTATGTTAAGTGCAGGTAAACAATAATTTCTTAATTCAAGAGTAAAAAGACTGATATTTCTGTGCGCCTGATTCTACTTCCAGTTCTGTTTTCGAAGCAACCACATACTTCGCTTCGTTACAATCGACGAATGCTATGTAGAAAAACATAATCAACTCATACGAATGGCTGGTCATCTTGTAAACAAATTAACGTTTGCTGTGCTAAATATACTTGCCACAGCAGCACGCAAGGTCGATACACAACTTCCGGAAAACAAGAAGAGTAATGAATCTGTGAACGAATCAATGATCAGCACTTTTTAGGCGAACTTGACGAAATGCAGCAATTTTGAGATTTTTTCAAAATTATGTAAGTGGCAAAACAGATATAATTGCATTACATCTTTCCTTGAGCGATTTGACAAACTAGCTGGAAATTTTGAAGGCGGAAAGTCAAATAAAAAATTATGCTGACAAGTGGCGATGGAGATGTTTAGAAGCCACAAATTGGATGTGCACTTTAGTTATGACATACTCAGACGAGTATAGGGCAAAAAGCCAGAGATCTTCAGGAGAAAGAACTATAAACAACAAAAGGAAGGAAACATCCAGGGAAAGACATCTTTCGTGAAAGCACGAATAAGACTACGTAATATGCATATTGCAACATACCGAGGGAGACTTACTAGCATCGGTTAATCAAAATTATTTCTGAGGGAAAACAGTAGAAAAGAACGGATTTAAGTTGGAATAGCATTTTCTAAAGCAAATCTGCAAAGATCTGAAGACTGATTTATTTGAGAGATCTTATCTCTGCAGAGAAAACATGCTCATATCTGATTTTATTTCACAGAGAATTTCACAGATGAAGCAAAGTCGAATCTGTATGCCAGAAGATAAAAGCGGTTGATAAACACGTCACATCTTCATTCAAAACATTTTCTGTCTTCATTCAACTGAGTTTTTTCTTGCAAGAGAAAGCTCTAAGACAAATTGTGCCGTTTTAAACAGAAAGCTACGAAACCCTACTAATTAACGCTAAAACAAGAAAATGGGAACGAAAACCCACGACTATCATTTCGGACTCCTGCAGTAACATACAGTCTTGTGTCCGTCGGCAACTCATACCATTGCGCTTTCCAAAACTGAAAGAAATGACTTGAGAAGGAGCAGAAAACAAACAACGTCTGCTAGTCATAGGCGAATAAATATCCTTTTGATTTTTTTTGCAGAAAATCTTAAAAGATGATCCAGAGCCTGCACACATCGGATATGGCTAAATTATATATAGAACTAGCTGGCTTACCCGGCTCCGCCGTATCCGGACCAAACTTGGCACACATACACTTCGGGCCCCGGCGGGTGTCACAGTCCACTTTTCGTTATCGATCGATGTCGATTTTACCGTTTTTTATCGATTTTTTTGCAGAGTTCACCTACAGGGCTAGGAGTTGGCACAGGGGGAAGTGAGCATGGGGATTTCGAATACAATATTAGTTTTCAGGATCGTCCATTACTTTTATTGATTTTATCGATTTTTTGTAAATTTTGACATGCGAGGCTGGGATTTTGCGCAGGGGGGGGTGATCGAGCATGCTGATTACGAACACAATATTAGTTTTCAGGATCGTCCGTTACTTTTATCGATTTTATCGATTTTTTTTGTAAAATTTGACCTGCGGGGCTGGGAGTTTGCACAGGGGGTAATCGAGCATGCAGATTACGAATACAATATTAGTTTTCAAGATCGTCCATTACTTTTATCGATTTTATCGATTTTTTTTGTAAAATTTGACCTGCGGGGCTGGGAGTTTGCACAGGGGTGTAATCGAGCATGCTGATCACCCCCCTTGGGGATGATCAGCATGCTCGATTACCCCCCTGTGCCAACTCCCGGCCCCCTAGCTCGAACTTTGCAAAAAAATCGATAAAATCGATAAAAGTAATCGATAATCCCGAAAACCAATACTGTATTCGGAACCCCCATGCTCGATTACCCCCCTGTGCGAACTCCCAGCCCCGTAGCTCAAACTTTGCAAAAAAATCGATAAAATCGATAAAAGTAATCGATAATCCTGAAAACCAATATTGTATTCGGAATCCCCATGCTCGATTACCCCCCTGTGCCAACTCCCAGCCTCGTAGCTCAAACTTTGCAAAAAAATCGATAAAATCGATAAAAGTAATCGATAATCCTAAAAACCAATATTGTATTTGGAATCCCCATGCTCGATTACCCCCCTGTGCCAACTCCCAGCCCCGTAGGTGAACTCAGCAAAAAAATCGATAAAAATCGATAAAATCGATATCGATCGATGATGAAAAGTAGCCTATGACACCCGCCGGGGCCCGAAGTGTATGTGTGCCAAGTTTGGTCCGGATCGGTTCAGAAATGGAATTTTCTATTCGGAACATACGTACACACATACATACAGACAGACAAACAGACATTCAGCTTTATATATAAGAATTTGAGAAGGTGACTGGTATTACTCATTCATATATCACGCAAAAAAGTTTCGAAACCAAAAGCCAAACTGACCATCGCAAAGTTTTCTGTAAAAGAACATTATCTAAGAGTTCAATAGATAGTAGTAACAGACCGACCACTTTTCTCAATTGGGCTGTAAACCCGAAAAATTTAGAAAGCGTAAAATTTTTTTGGCTATGTGACGCCGCGCCTCTTCACTCAACCCTCCCCCCCCCCCCCTCTCCCCGAATATTTTTCAATCAACGCTGATAGATAGATGCCTAGAGCAATCAGTCAGCATGAATCCCGCAGTTATTTGTTTGTGTTGGAAACATACACGATCAAAGATCAAAAGCAAGGAAACTCAAAGATGTTCAAAAACGACGGAACTGCGCTGATCCCACGACGCTGAAATTCCATGAAGAGGAGGTCGTAAACACAGAATCGAATTAAGAACGATGTAGCGAAAACACAGGGAGAGATCGACCAGCGGATCGCATGAATGTAGTAAAAACGAACCATAAAAAAGTGAGGAATCTTGAGCGGGGCAAATCGCAGGAAGTCAAGAATCGAAAGTGGACAGAGAAAAAGCCCTCACCTAAGCAAAAATGAAGGAGTTCGTAAAATTGTGCAAAAAGTAGTAGACTGGCACCTAAGTTCTGCAAATAATTTTATAACTTTTTTGAAATTGAGCTTAGCACTCTTTTCTTCGTATAATGCATATTGGATACAAAAAAAAAATGCGAAAGCGTTTAGATTTTTTTATAAAGAAGTGTTGAAAATCTACCCATTCTACTCGAGTTTTACAGGCTTAAAATTGAAAGTAAAGCTGCTGCAGTGAATCAAACACTTGCTGCAAAAAATATTTTTAATCCATGTACAGTTTCGGCTTGATGTGTTTGACTCAGGCTGCAAATGGCTTCATTTCCGCTCTTCAAGACTTGTGAATTATCGAAATAGAACCTTCCGGAGAAAGTTTGACTTTACCGCTTTAGCGCCATCATGATTTGAGCACATTTGCAGATCACTACCCAAACTGCATGAAGCCAAAAAATGAAAGTGCCAAATAAAATATGAGAAAAGTTATGAAGTTAGTTGTGAAACTTATGCGAACCTGATATATCAATGCGATCTCGAAAGATATTGCGAGCGCAATGTTGATATCACTTTTGACTGAGAATGAAGATAGAGAAGGATCGATGCGCGAATGACATGCGAAGAGAAGACGTTTTGGGGTCCACCTAAAGGGCTGGTTTCACGTAATTCGACGTGATGGTCATCCTCTACTTAGCCACTATTAGCGAAATGTAATGCTACAGGTTCCTCTTCTCAGAGCAACCAATGGCAGCCAAGTCAAAAGCCATGCGAGCCAATCACAGCGAGCCAAATGAACCAACCATGAAACAGACAGAGTAGAAGTCGAAGGCTGAGTAGCCATAAAAGACACCATACGATAGACTAGCCACCACTTTTAGTATTAGTACAGTATGTTGCGCAGCTTGCCCACATTTACACACATTGTTTTGGATGTTTTGAGAAAAGAACACCGCTAACAACATTACTAACATTACTGACGCTAATGCTGGTTTTTATCGCCAACAACAAAAGTTGTTCTGAAACGTACCTTTACATCTGTGTAAATGTCACAATGGATTGAGACCATCCTTCTTACAACTGTGTAAATAAGAAAATCAGGTCAACAGGGCAGCGGTAAAATGCAAATCAAGTTCGGACGTATACTTTCATCGTATAGAAACTCATTAATGATGCATGCACATGTTTTAAAAAACGCCCCTTTAGTGCAAAAAAACGCTCACAAAACACTTATTCAGAAAACTGTAGAAATTGCACAGAAGCGGAAAAATTTATATGTTCAAATGGGGCTCGCTCTAAACCTCGCTCCTCAAAGAAATTTCCCAAAGTTGTACAGAAACTTCTGAACTTTGGTAGCAACCTCAAATTACTAAAATGTCCAATTTATTTGTCCTTAAAAATTAGCACGAAAAGAGAGAAGATAAATAAGTAGAGTTTCCAGAACCTATTCTTCAAGACTATTTCTAAGGGAAGTTGAGCTGAAGTGTAAAAAACTTCGAAAAAACCGGACGCCTCGGACAATTATCTCATTCTCGTTGCACTGAGGAAAACAGAAAAATTCGAGGATTTTCAACTTCAGTTCTCGAAATTATTTTTTCCATCTCAAGGTTGAATTTACCTTCATATATACCAGAGTTGTTTTCCTGCATTATTGTTCAACAACAAAATAGATTTTCAGCATTGTACATCTCCGGTTTAGAGAGGAAATCCCCTTCTTCCCTCAGCTACCCCCCCCCCCCTCTCCCAGAAATAGACTATCCAATGATATGACAGGATGCTCGAGTCACTCCGAACCACTTCCGTTAAGGCACCCGCTTTATCAGCTCTACCCTAATCCATCAGCACTAATCTGCAGCAGGCAATGCTTACGTCAAAATGGACATGTACCATGCAAAAAGCGGACTGGTGTTACAAGTGCAACACCGGAAACGCTGTACTTGGTAGTAATATTTGCGAAGTCCCAGTCAGACAATCAGTCAAAGGACAGAAGAGAAAATGGATGATAGTGGTTGCGATGAATTTTTTGACGGGTCTCTTTTTTTTTGAACAAACGCGATGCTGATGAAGCGGTGTGATATCAAGGCAAAATTCATTGCGGAAAAAACTTGGAACTCTGGATCTGAAAGGAGAAAAAAACGAATGAAAAAAGTCGCTAGAGGTTTGAGGTTTGACGAGGTGGAGCAGAACTACAATAACCAAAATTTCAGACTCTCTTTATCAAGAAAAAACTTCCAGCTTTATGTTTTTGATAGATATAAGGGATGGGTAAACCATTCCAGATCGTAATAAACCAAATTTTCCAATGAATTTCGGGTGCACCTCATTGGCGATCTAGTAAATGCTGCTAGAACAAAAATCTGCCAAGCACAATGAGCTTTTTTCTTGCGTAGTTTTGCACTGCAGCTGCGACTATTTTCGCTTGGCACTAAATTCCAATAGAAGTATTTGCATTATGAATCTGTAGATAAATTCTGCAGTCCCACCGAAATGCATTAGTATTTTTTTCCATTCAAGAAGCTGCTACATAACTTTGTCAGAGTACAGATTAGTAGAACATTTTGTAGTTACGTTATGATGGAGTCTCCTCCAATGACGCAAACGCAATGATTTGAAAGAAATGATTAGTTAGTTGAGACTGCAAACTAGGGCGCACATCTTTCGATGCAAACCGCAGCGCAAGGTGAAAGTCGCGCAAGAGACAGAGATACTCAAAGCGAAGAAGAAGATCCGTTGTGGGCGATATCACCGGCGTTGCGCCAGAACTAGCCGTGTACCGATACATAAACGCAAAAAAATCTGTGAATCAGTGAATGTGTGTGCGTCACGGTCATTCCGTCATCAAATGCGCGATGACATTCCTGCGATGAAGAACTAAACGGAAGCAGAACGACGAAAAGACACTTACCACCCATACGGTAGACAGATGTTGTTTTCGATGAGAACCGAGCCCGATAGCAGGATGTACCAACAGGTTGCCACTTGTCCTTCTCTGCAAAAAAATGCACTGTTATACATCTTTTCAAAACTACTTGCAAAATCTCTGGAACACTTCTGCACCGACATACAAGTCATTCAAAATTTATAGTAACTGGAAAGAAAATGACTAAGCGCATATCGAAAACTCCAAATCGCAGTCCAATATTCAGAAATAACACAGCTTGTGAATGACATACACATGTTCATGTATCAAACTTTCCCAAAAAATAACTTGTTGATCCAAACTAGCTGACACTTTGAAAGCAGAAAACCGATATTTGCATTGTATTTATGAGAGAAGACAATGAACTGGATTAGAAAAATCATAATTCGCACTTTTCTCATAGTTCCGGTTGATAAAGATCGCAGATAAAATATTATTGGGTTGATGAAAAATAATGCATGTTTCTCATGCTTTTGCTTCGGGGTAAATGAAAAATTTGCAATCTTGAAAGGCAAAACAAGCTCTCTAGAATTGTGCTGGAAGAATGTTCGCATTCAGTTGGTCCACTTGGTGTTAAAAGCAAAAATTCGCGATGTTCTCTACTCTGAAAATATCTTTTCTGAAAAATAAAAATCTTACTAACACTTCTCAATCAAGCCTTCTTATGTGCAACTGCTGCATTAACTCTATGGCCGAATTCAAGAAACAAAGTAGGCCAAAAACGCGCATATATCGCCTTTTCGAAATATTTTCCGCAATAGTTCTACCTCACGAGAACTAGGCCCTTTAAAAAGTTAGATATTGATAATGTACTTGCAAAGGTTGCAGTGTAGAATGAGTTGCTTATATGAGAACAGCCGAGCGCTGTTTTCGCAAAAACATGCCAATTTTCGACGGAAAAATCATATACTGACCACACTAAACTCTCGAATTAATCTTGCTTGCGTTTGAGCTTCTAGAACCAGAAAAAAACGATAATTCTTCAAAATGTATATTCCGTAATTGCTAAGTTCCTGCGATTATAAAACGGTGATATCTCAAAGAATTAGAGAAAAAGGTGATTGCACGTAAATACAAGATCCGTGAAATTTTCTGGAAAATTATTACGAGTGCAGAGCGGACAGCACGAACAAAAACCATAACGACCTGCAAAGGACTCGTATCTCAGCATACACATGATCACGCTCAATGTAAGACTGGTCTGTTCTAGATACTATTTCGTGACATAATGAAAAAACAAGGACTGCCGATGTTGCTTATCCTGGATCATGCTTAGCACGACAACATGCAAAACCTCAAAAGAAAAATGCGTGGCAATGAAGGAAGTTCTGCACACTATATTTGGCTTCCTTTCGTGGAGTGGGTTGAGAACCTACCACAACCGCGACGGAACTTCTTGACTCTTCAGTCAAGGAGGCAGATAGACGATGTTAAAAAAGAAACGGAAAACATCCAGAAGGGTCGTGAATGTCAGCACTGACCCAAGGAAAAGAAAATTTTACATGAAGGATGCCCAAAAACTGAAAATGGGGGACGACAAACACGCACCTGTATAGCACATGTCGCGCACCATGACGCTCGTAACGTGCATTCGCGCAAATAGCCTTTAGTGGGCCATTGTATAGGTTTGAGAACATGTCGAGTTGCCTCAGTTGGTCGTAGATGTTCCGGACATCCTGTGGAACAAGTAATCATGAGGATGTAACGTTGAAATGTCAAGGTTATTTCAGAAACATACATTTTGAGTGCGCTGTCGAGGTGGTTTGATAAGCGACTCGTAAAATCGGGCGTCATTGATGGGATCCATGATCTAAAGCAACTAGAGCGGATAGTTCCTTTTATTCAAATAGGCAGGAATGAATTACCTAATTTACGTGTGTATCCCACACGGGACGGAAATGACCGCAAAATCAGATCTTGTGACCGGCGTTCCAAATAATTCCTGAAGATATATATGAATCAAGCAGTTGTGAGATACCTCAGCAGAACTATGCAGCGGAGGAAAGAATGCAGTCAAGCCGATGTACAACGATAACGTCAATCATCGCGGAATATACTTTTGAGGATGAAAAAGGAACTGCGCGTCAGAGAGAAGAGATAAAATCGGTCAGAAAGTCGCAATCGAAGCGCTGAACTCTCTGTAACTCCTGTAACAACCAGTCTGGAACACGACAAACTATGCGATAGAGAAGAAGTTTATGAATAGGAAAGATGGGTTTGACAAAAACAATGGCAGCAATTGAAATTGAAAGAAATTGACTACAATAGTTTGAAAATAATGCTGAAGCAGAGAGGTTGTCCAAAAAATTACACAACGCCTTTGTTATTCACAGCAACCACTTCACTCTGTTTTTCATCGTACTCAAAGGTCCGTCTAAAATGATGGATGATGATAGATTAGCAAACAAAAGATAGATCTATCTTAAAATGACGGTCATCCTTCAAGGCGCTGCGACCTTATTTGCAGTCATATCAAGCAAATAACAATAAATCGTAAATTGTTAGAAACAACGGAAAGTCCAAGCTTCTTTTGAGAAGAGATATCCTATCTTCTATGAAAATCCATTTACACTTCAACTAGAAATTTCGCGCATACGGTTTCTCCTGCAGTTTGCAACATTCTCGATGCAGAGCAAGACATTATGGTAGTCATTACAAGTCTCCCCCGGCTTTCTATTAGATAAAGTAGAAAGTCCTAAAGAATTCATCACTGTTAGACTTCCTTACTTTTGAAAATGACATTATAGACACAAAATATAATATTACAACCAGGGGTGATCTATGTTGATTTGTAAGAAATGGACTGAGTCTTTGATCGCAGCTTCAAAGCTTCAGAGTTCGTATACGAAGCTAACACGGCAGAAAGGCATAACACAGAATTACTTAGTTTCCATTCATTTCGAACACTACGGGACTGAAATTATAGTAGTGATAAAAAACGATAAAAAAATTTAACCAGGGGCAGTAAGCGACAAATCGGAGGTAAGTTCGTAAAATGAAAAGCAAAGAGTTAATGTAAAACTAATCTTTTAGTCGTCAAAATGAACACATTCTGAACTACTACGGAGAAAAGCATGAAAATCTATACTCAAAAAAAGTGAACGGGGCAACTATAGCTGGTCATATTATTGAGAATATACTTGAGCAGCATTTTCGCAGCGTATGAAAATACCTATTCCTCATAGAACCCAAGATATATAGCAGCTCGTATTTGCAGTAGGCGTCTTGCGAAAACAAATCTTCCGTGCGCTCCTCAAATTGCTGTTTTCCTTCAATGCTTGAGCGTCTGAGGCCGTTAACATACGCGGATGTAAGACAAATTTCTCTCAGAATTCCTTTAAGAATTGCTGAGTGACGCATCTCGCACTTTGAGCTGTTTTACTTTCGAGCCAAATTCAAAAGTTCAGCTCGTCCCTTGTGATATATGGGAGTGCCCTTTAGTTCGACTTTTGCTCAACCACTTCCCTCGAATAAAACACCAACGAAGGAAAAAGTCGAAGGGGAGGGAAGGGGGGGGGGCGGTACGGTACGGTAAGGAAAATGGAAAAGGAACGAAAAGTATTGTAGAAGTAAAGGTACACGAGCAACATCTTTGACTAGCTCTTGCTGCAAACAAAAAAAGGAAAGATATAAGAAGCTGAGAAGAGGCTTCCAGCCAGAAAATGAAACAGTGCACGCTGAGGGTGAACATAAAGAACATAAGAGATACTTTTCCAAATTTAAGTAGCTCATAACTTGAAAAAGCGAAGAATATTTCAGCCAATAATTCCTACGTGAGAATCCAATCAACAAACATAGACATGATCAAATGGGAAGACTGCTTCGAAATTGACATAAATTCAGTGAACAATTCCGCTGTAGCCCACTCTATGCATGTTTTCAGCAGAATGTGAAAACTCCCGTTCAAAATTTGAAACCTGATATACATTACAGCACTCTGACTGTGCCAACACGGTAAACAATCTCAAATCTTCCAAATGAAAAGAAAGGGCAAGAAAATTTGATATTTAACACAAAAACCTCGCATTCTGCAGAAAACGGGAAAAAGAGTACCATTAGACTACCGCCAGCACCATCAATATTAAAGAGTGTAGAGGTTCTATTTCCTTTCATCGAATAACTTTGTTTCTTGACCACAAAAGTATGGCTTTTGTTAGTGAAAAGTAGGACAAAATTACATAAAAAGTGCATTGATTCGATTTTACGCCAAGTCAAAGCTGTCTATCAACCATTTTCAATTTCCCTAGCAGGTAATCCAGGTGAAAACTCGAAGTCTGATTAGATGGGATGCATCAACGACAATCACCCACCAACAAGTTCATAATACATCCCTCCCATAAGTCAAAAGTATGGAATAATTGCATTCTACACTCTTGTGGCCATGACCGCAGAGTAGCTGCGTTACGGCAGCGTTGCAGCCGCAAACCTAGCATTAGAATCGAATTCCTCGGATCGGAGACAATGTTACCCCTTCAAGCAAAGATAAAAAAAGAAAAATTCATTCATACCGTTAAGCATAAGCACCGCTCAGCAGCACAACAAGTAGAGAATACGGCTTTGTCAGCAACTTAGCGCCTATTTACAGCACTAACTTTTTTCACCCTGACTTTTTTGAAAAATCTCACTGCAAGACGAGCGAATAATCTCGAAGCAGTACATAAGATAGTGAAGGCTGCAGAACCTAACTGTCAAGGCGAAAAATGCAAGTAGATAAATGACTGACACCTACTTTCTTTTTTGAAACAGCAATCTATTCTTGTCCCGTGTCGGAAAAGTAAAGGAATGAACGAAAAAAAGGAGCAGTCCTAAGAATAACTTTCTCCAAAGACTGATGGGTTTACCTAGAATATGACAATAAAAGATGAACATTTTGAATGGGTGTCACCTTTGCAAGTATTAGAAAAAAACTTCCAAATGAGCATACTGCTGGAAATGGGTATCTCACTCAAAGCAGTTATGGCTATATTTCTACCAAAAACCATCAACAGATGATAAATCATGTTACAAGGCTGCTTGAATGTCATTAAAATCCTGAAACGATTGAGAAGAAAAAATCAGTCAACTAAAAACCTTTCGAACGATGACCGCATATAATTTCAGCCAGAGATGAAAGAAATAACTAAAAGCACACAACTTTATCCTGCAGATTACGTCTGATGATGTTATAGCCAGCTCCGAGCTAATAAAACACTCAGAAAGCCAAGACCATTCGATCGACAAATCTGGGACGCTTATGGCAAGCAGCGCGTAAGTGACCTCCGAAACACCAAAGTAATCCTTGCGATTCGACATGTGCGCATAATAAGCGAGGAATCCCAATAACCGATAAACCGAATAACGAGAGCGGGACTAGCGCAACCAGCCGTTGAGAACGCGAAATTCGAGGGGACAAGAGCTCCTCAAACATGAATCACTCCATAAACGTGCGTTCTACCGGCGACCAAGCAGAACGCCGTTGTTTCGAGCAACGAGATCTTCGCCGAATAGGAAAACATTACGCAGGTAGCTCTAAGCTAATAGCACCTTCCAAGATGACCGGAATAGCTCACGAAGGGCGTCTAGCCTAAGAGTCTAAGGCATCAAAAATAGATAAGATCTCTGCTGCTTACTCAACGAGAAGAGCCACGTGCTGTTTGATTGGTGCCAAGGTCCTGTCAAACCAATCTTGATGAATATCAATAATTACAATATCCTCAACAGATTTGCATGAACATAATTTTACTAAACAAAGGAGATAATGTACTTTACAACGTTCTTCCCTATAAGTTTCAGATTTCTAATCATAGCAGAAAAGAAAATCATCCCAGGCTTCACATTTCAAGATAGGTTGCTAAACCTGAAGCGCGCACTACATTTCAAAACTAAGTCTATCAAAGAAGTTGTATTTCCGAGAACACGCTAAAACAATAAAGATTGCCGTTTTGTATAGCTTGCCCAAAATTTATAATCTGTTACGAAAACATCTGATCAGCGATAAAACACTCATTCACAGAAAAGATCATAAAAACCCTCTTGATTGCCAGCTTTCAGATCTTTGGCCTCCTGAATCAAACTGACCGAAATTGTGACGATTGAAAACTCTCCGGAAGAATGTAGCGTCAAGCGATTACCCCGAATGTTTCAATATGATCTACAGGTTATTTTTACAAGTACATTTTCGTGAAGAAACCATTGATACAAGCAGCAACTACATTAAAAATCATTTTTCCACACTTTCACTGACTCAATGAAGGATGGCGGATGAGCTTGATGTTTTGCTTTTTCCAGATGTTTTTTTTTGTTGACAACCTCAGCAGAAAAAAAAAACGATACAAATGATAGCAATGGGCAATTGATCATCCTCTGTGTACTCAGCACATCAGCTTAAACATCTTCATCTACCACCACTCATTCGGTAAGCCGAAAACGTAGATAGAAATAGCGACGGAAGCATCAGTAATACGTAAAAAATTAAACAGATATAACACTTCTCTTTCCCAAAACTCAAATTTTTGTGATCTACGGCACCGACACTAGTCAATGATGAAGTGTTTCAATATGAGACGAATGCTTATTTCCGGTATGCGTGCACAATCTTTAATCGGGAATAATCTATACATTCTTATTTAATTAGAGGCGAAACAGGTCGTAAGATTATTTTTATGCTTCATACCCGATAGAGCTAAGCAAGAATTTTCGCTATCAGTAGTTTTCGTCTTTGATAGAAGACTGACGTCATATCTCAGTGTTTCGCAAGCGAGCCCGATAATTCCATGAAATAGCCAAAGAATGAAATGTTATCACTATTTTGCTAACTGCTGGCTTTTGTAGATTTAACAATGGAATTTGGGAAAATGAGACTCCCAACCACGTTAAAGGCAAGAGAAGAGCAGTGAGAAACTTGTATAAATAAGTAAGGAAGATATAGCATAGATAGGGATATAAGAGCCTATCATTCTGCAGCA